CCTTCCAGGTGATTTGGATGCACGCTCAAGTTTGAGAATAAATCCTTTCTATTAACGCCCATTACCCTTGTTATAGTTATGTGTAGCTGTTGCACTTTTCCTTTGCTGGTCTAAATTCTCTGAGTGGTAGTAGCTGCACCATGGTTTTGTTTTATTTTTTGTTTTTCATTCTTTCTCTGTGCCTGGCACATAGAGGATATTTAAAACTATTTTTTTGAATGAAAACTTTGGTGACTAAACGGGCCAACAGATAATTATGGAGTTTTTTGCAGTAAGCTATCTAGTGAAAGCTGTGACCAAGAGGGTATACCATAAAGCTAGTGCATGACTGAGCTGCTCTGGGATCCTATGGTGCGACATCGTGGCTCCAAGATCTAAATGATTTTACATTTTTCTCAATTTGCCATTTGCTCCTGCTTCCCTTAAACATTTTTGTTGTTCAATAAAATTGTAGGATATAAAGAATTCGTATGGGTTATTATCTCTCATAGTTTTATTGCTAATGTTAAAAAGCATGTATCTATAAAGGTGAAGTGTTTGCAGGACAATTACTCCATAGAAACAGTTTGAAATTAGAGACAGGCCATCTACAGAATTACGTAACTGTGTGTAAGAACATGTTGTAAAAATTACACTTTATATACATATCCAACATTAACCAATGGTGATGGTTAAAAATGACAAGACCTTATCTTTACGATGGAATAAAAGTATTTGCCTTACACAAAGCTTTCAGAGAAGATGACTGAAAACCAGCTCTCTAATTGGGGGAGAAACAGTGATCTTGTTTTAAGCATAAATCATCTGAAATATTAAATCCCCTAAAATACAAACAAATTTCAAAAATTAAGTGCTAGTTGTTTTGATGTTTCTATCTGTAGATTAATCTAGATATTGTGAATTATTTAGGCATGATACATAGATACAGAAAATACCATACACTTGTGCAATCTAGCATGGAGAAAAGCACAAAGGATTAGAGGTCCCTATCTATTTTCCTAAAAATCTTCTTTCTTCCTCTTTGACTCATCTTTTTCTTTTCTTTTACTCTACTGAAAAGATGTCAATTAAGATGAACCAATTAAATCAATTTTTCCCCCAAGCTAGATAGTGGAGGGCCAAATCAACCACTCTGTGAAGAGCAACTTCCTGTTATTTTGTGGTAACAATAGGCAATGTTGCATATGAAAGCCGCAGGAACATGAATTTTAAACTGTGAGTTAGAGTATTAGAGTGAATAGATCATTCAAAGAGTAAGTGATGGATTACTGCAATACCCTATCACACCCACTAACATATTCAGTTAGAGTAACATAGGCTGGTGCTTTGGACACTCGAAAATTCTTGGGCATCCAGGCTACATTATGGACGTAGGGTTTTGTGCTATAGTATTGATTGTATTCGTTTCTTCCTTTTTATCTTCACTGCTACAACCCAGTTTCATGCATTATCATCATTATCCTTGGTGAGTAAAGTATCCTCCTAATATTTCTTTGGTCTAGGTCTCCCACCTCCAATCTCTTCTATGCTTATGTCATTACAGACTAATATTTCTTCTAAATCCTGACACTAATAATATTCTTTTAAAAAGTTATTCCAAATCCCATCAAAACAAACGTGAATTCTTTAGCATGACATTCATGGGTCCCTATACCAAACTTTTCCGCTTGTGCAGAATTCAACTCCCCCTCTGGAAACATGTACTCAAGCTAAATTTGAGCTCATTGATCCAGGAACACCTTCTGTGCTTTTGTTTCCTCGTGACTTTGCTAAGGCTATTCACAGCACATGGGATGCTCAGGTAAAAAAATCTGACCCCATCATAAGTGCTCTTAAATGCAATGTATTTCTACTAAATTTGGCTCTACTAGAAATAATCTCTCTACACTGTAGGTACTCCCTTTGGCACTTTATAAATTCTTGCTTGGCACAGATGCCTTTCTATTGTGACCTTTATATCTTCACTCAACATAAGGCTCTATCAGTATTTATTGGACTGAATTTATTGACTTGGCGGTCTAAGCCACTGGCTTTGAAATTTGGCTCACATTGAACTCACTGAGGGAACTTACAAAAGTACTGAGACCAAAGTCCCACTGGTGGAGATACTAATTTAAATGGCCTGGCATGCAGTCTGGGTATTGAGACTTTAAAAATTTCTGTAGAAGGTGCTGCCAATTCTGGGAATACCCAAAATGTCTTTTGGAGTGTCTGTGGTTTCCACAGTCTCCTATGGCTACTTGGCTGGTGGGTTTATGTCCATTCCAACTCTGTGAACATGTAACTCTTGAACAGCTATAAAATGTGGCTTCCCTACAACTTCAACCTTATCTTTAACTCCCAGCAGCATTATAAAGAAATGCTTATCCCAGGCTTAAAGATTAAAATATGCTCCTCCAAACTTCCTTATAGTCCTGCTTGCTGGTTTTGGGGAACACTAATTATTATAATTCAGACTCTAATTATAAAAAAGAAAAAGGTTAGTGTATAAACTGATTAGTTTAAAACTATGTACATATATTATATCCCACTGTGATCTCCAAAGAAAGTAAAAGTGACTCTTAAGTATATGACTTAAAAAATAGTTTTAAGCATTTTAACTAAAGCATTGTCTTAAACTTTGCATTTAGAAAAGGGCATAGAGAAAAATCTATGCACATATTTTCATCACATATAATTTGCATTTGTATCCTTCTATACAGGCACCGTTCGTATTGATTTATGATGAACAGATGATGTATTGCACCATAGGCATGTAGTACTGTTTACAATGTTTTCTTTCCTAAAGTAATCTATAAAGCAGGGATAACAATACCTATCCTATGAGGCAGATGTTATTTGAATCACTGCCAAAACTGAATAATATTAACTGAGATGATTAGTTTGAATTGCTTTCTGGGAAGGTTTGAATTCCAGTTGATCCATGTCAATCTCTCACTCTTGCACATTGAGGGGCACCAGGTGTATATGTGGTGGCCAAGTGGCCACAGGCATCTATGACAGAATATGGTGTGCCATGAACAGGAGAATCAAACTCATGCCCTACAGTGGTTCTTGTAAATGCTATATTCTAAGCAATTAAGATTATAAATTTAAGTGTTGTTGCTTAATTTTTGGATCCTTCACTTTAACAGATAAAATAGTATCAAGATGTATATAGCTGTTGGTTCTAGCATTTCAACTTATTGGAAAGGACAGTTAGTTTCAACATACCTGAAATTTATCCTTTATATGGAGCCTTATTCCTGTGTAACTCATTATCAAGGAGAATTCCAGAAAATAAAATGAAACAACAGCCAAAACACCCACTTTTAGGCCTTCACTCAGATTATTAAGTAACTCACTTTTCATTAGGTCACAGGCAGACAGGAGAGTTCTTTCACTTATTTCTTCACTGACTATATAATCAGCAAATGTCTGCTAAGCAGATGGACCTGTTCTATATACTGTTTGCCTTGCCAGCTGCCATTATTAAAAGCAGTAGGGAATTTCAGATTGGAGCACATATAAATAACAATGGATAATTCTTTTCTCAAACTTTGGTGTTTGCAAATATGTTCACCGGGCCAGTTTAGTTTTCTAAGTCCTTATTTCACTCCTTTCTAGTCACGCTCATTCTTACCTAAAAGAAAAACATGTTTCAATTACTCTAAGAAAAATCATTTTAGAAATTTAAAAAAAAATTGAACATATTTAAGCAAAAAACAAAACAAAATAAATTAATGATTAAATTATTAAATTTAGACAGGAAAATGGCTATTGAATAAATCCAGACATTTCTATACAAAATTCTTGGCATCCTTGTTTAAAAAAATATGAAAAACAATATAAAATGAAATGTTATTAGACAGAGTTCTCGATTTAGTCATGCAAATGATGAAGATGACTTTGCAATGACAAAAGCTCCTACAATGGGTTGCCGATTATTACATTGCTTCAGTGTAATTTTGGCACCAGGCGCACGTAAATCCTGGGAATGTTGGTTATATGCACGCCTTGCAATGCCAACACATTTTTCATGAGAAAACAGTGGACTTGGGCATTTGAAGATTTGACATTCTTGATTTTAATATTTAGAAGTTGTGATGACAGCTCATGACTAGTTTCACCCAGACTTGGAACTGTCTCACATGCAGACTAAGGGATGTGCTTTTTGAGTGTGTCCCTGGACTGCTCAAGAGCCACCAATCTATTATTGTTTCATCTCTGTAACTCTCACAGAGTAAAAAAATCACTGGTTCAAGCACTTTACAGTCAATGTTCCTGCAGTTATACAATGTAATGCAGTGAGAAGATCTGAGCAGAGTTTTTGTTTTTGTTTTGAACTAACTATAAATTGCTTTAGAGTTGAAGTTAGTACAATTATTAGGGATCTTAAAGGGTCATCTAAATATTTCAATAACACTTTAATAATTTATGTTATAAAGATATTTGTGAACTTAGAGATTTATAAAAATATACCTCAGGAATGCCAAGCTAGTTTGAATTTGCCTTATCTTAACCATGTAGGAATAATTGATATCTATTATCATGATACTATTTTTAATGCATTTATTCTTGAATTTTTAAGGGACAAAATTTATAAATATTAGAACTTGTGATTCAATAAAGGGCCTAAGAGGTATAGATTGTTACATTACATTGTGATGTCATGAGATGTTATGTTTAAGAAGTTAAATTCCTTGTTAGAAGAATCCCTAAAGGAGAGGAGGCCCAAAGATCCCACTCAGTATAGATGAAGAAGTCATGTATTATAACATTCTGTGGGGCATTTCATACTAACAATAAGAAATGAAGAAGGGCCCTGGCTGCTGTGGCTCAGTTGATTGAGCATCGCCCAAGGCACCAAAAGGTCATCTGTTCGATTCCTGGTCAGGGTGCCTGCGGGATGCAAGTGACTGAGGTTTCTCTTTCACATCCATGTTTCTCTTTCTCTCCCTCTCCCTTCTTCTCTCTCTAGAATCAATAAAAACATATCTTTAAAAAAAAGAAAAAGAAATGAAGGAGAGTACAGTGAATGCATGGACAGACCAGCTTGCAGCATTTGGAATAGCGATTTAGAAAGAACTGGTGAAGTCAACTGACCCTGGGAACTAAAGAGTAAACACCTGTATCATCTATCACTATTTTAATATGCTAACTATTCCTTGTTATGACTAATGGTCCTAATTTTTTGTTGCTGTTAAAATAAAAGGACAAAATAGTCAGAAATACTGTAAATACCTTTGCCTAGTGGCATTATAGTAAATATACTGAGATGACATTTTTGTAAGTAGCTAAGACTTTGTTATTTTTCTTATGTTTTTACCTTTAGGCTTTAGACCATAGATTTCATAAACAGAGTAATCCTGAGGAATTTAATAAAATTATTATAGCTCTGTGTATCCAAAGGAGGAAAATAATAATGAAATACACAAGGAAATATTTGCAACATGATTCCCCTGGATTGAGTTATGAGATTATTGTGATCATTAAATGTATGTTTACATGTGCAAACCTATGAGGAATAATTTATTTTTATTTTTATTATAGTTAGGAAAATCTCATTTATAAACTGTATTTTCAGTTATAGAGAATGGAGGTAAATTTTGATAATGAACCAAATGCAGGCAATTTTGAGATTTTGAAGGGCTCATATGAGAATATTTGCTTCTTAGAAAGATCTAAAATGGGCACTCGGGCATTTCCCTACTTTGAAGATATTTTGGAATGAAAATATAACATGTAATATTTTTTATATTGACATTTTTGGTCAAAAAATTTTAAAACTTTCTTCAATAAGTAACTTTAGTTTTAGAGCCCTAAATACAGAGTGGTAAAGCAGAGAGACTTAAATGGCTTTTTAGTTTATTTGTATATTTTAGGAGTGATAAGTGAGGCTGTTTTCATAAATGAGATGTGGTAAGAACCAATATGTCATTGAATATTTAAAAAATAATGTTCTTAGAAGGAAAGACACCTGAAAATGACAGTTTGCTATTGGATTGGATTGATAAGACACTGAAGTCTTATAATTTCATACTTTTAAATCATTCTTTATTTTGTTAGAGAAATTAGCATTTTGTTTAGCCAGGATTAGGAAAAGAAATGAAAATACTCAAGGTTTACTTTCATTCCTGCAACTTGTCTATGTATGGGACAAGAGAGTTTCTTTTCTTCTTAGTAGTTTTCTTCTCACTGATTGTAACCCTTCCAAAAGTGACCCATGTTTCAGAACTCCAATTTAGCCAAAAATAACAGTAATGATATCCAGTGGAAGAGAAAACTTAAGTAAAATGCCAACTATTGGTAGCTTTGTTTCTTTCTATTTGTTTAGGGTAAAGAAGCAAATTGAATTTTCCTTCCATGAATAAGAAGTTCACTTGGGATTATTCACAGGTTATTTGAATATTGTGCACCTCACTCAATAGGCTCTGCCTCAAAGTCAATGTCAGGTTAACTATTCTTCTGAACCAAGTTTTGTGCTCTGGGACGTCTGTAGAGAGAGAACCAAACAACTGCCCTGAGAGATTTCATATTAATGAATGTTATATTAACCAGAATGCACAAATAGGACTGCACATACGGGTATTTCTTTTACATTTAGGTTGGTCTCAACTTATAAAGTGAAAGAGCATCCAAGAGAGGTGATAAATAATATTGCTTTGTGGCTTTAATATATTGCCATTTAATCAAAGGTTGCATGCCATTTTGTCTTTAAATACCCTTATGAGGTAGCTTAGAGAGATCTCTGCCCTTTACAATCTGCAACAGATTTCCTATTTAAGAGCAAGAAAGTCTATTGCTGGAAAATATGCATAACTAACAAGAAAGTATAATAAGGTTGGTACTTAAACTCTGCTAAACTTTGAGCTATTTGCATTGATAAATTTAAGGTATAATTTATCAGTACCCAGCACTATTCTGTTTAAGAAGAAAATATGCCAGAATTTCTTGATTATACCTCAAAATGGATGCTGCATACTGCCACAGGGCTTGCGAGAATATAACAGTTTGGTCTTTTTCCAGCTCTCTTACTGTGGCTACCAATTGCCAGCAAATCAGTCAAATGGAATGATGAAAGATATTTCAGTTTCCAGAGGGAAATTCTCTTGGACATCTTACATTAGATAACTTAGATGCTCCCCACAACACAGTGTAGGCAATCTCTGCCAATATCCAAGGTCATAAATTTATCCAGGACTGGAAAGCAGCACACTTACACTAATCTCCACTTTTCTTTTACCCATGACAGTCTCTCTTAGTTATTCCTAAGGAGTTCTTCAAGGAACTCTTTCCCAAGTTCTTCCTGTGGGTAATAGGGCTGCTCTAATAACCATGAAGACAGAGGAAAAGGAAACCATTCTGCTCCTCTATCTGGCCCTGCCGTTAGCCATGTGGGAACCTAGAACACACTTAGAAATGACTCCTAAAAATCCCAGTTCAAACATGTGACATGAAGCAGGCACCACACATAACCAGTAGATGTTTCTCCTCCTCTGTTTCTAACATTTCCTTCTGATTTTTAAGACTTCATAATTAACATGACCCATGAGAACTGGGAAAAATAGTAGGGACTGGATTTCTATCATTTAAAAAAGTACAAATTTAGCAATGATTTTTATAAATACGCAATACATTAAAATTATGTACATTATAGAGGTTCTCAGTTTAGGGGATAAACCCATTTAATTTTGACAACATATTTAGAGGTGCAGAAGAGATATGATGTTACCTGTAGATTAGTCATCTGTATTATTCTTGACCCTATATATTTCTTTCTTTGAATAGGTTTTCAATTTATAAGAAAAGCAAGTGACTTTTCTATGAGCAATAGAGAGGTCCTCATTAAGAACAGAGAAACATCAAAAAAGTATTAATTATGTTTCAAGGATGTACAAAATCAGATCAATGCCAACAGCCATCCCTGGGAATGAATAATGCTTATCTGGGAGCTTGCTTGAGGTTTCTGTTCAAGGAGTATTCCTAGTAACCCACTTTCACCCATAAAATGATCTAGGGCTCGTGCTTGGAAATTCAGGTGCACTTTCCCTGCAAAGTACAGATTAGGAATCTGACAAATGAGAAAAAAACCTTCAAGTGGGATATATTTGCATATAATCAATTTGTTAGCAGTTAAGAGTCTATAGTTTTGAGGCACCATGCAATTCTCTGTGCTGTATCCTAAACTGGAAAATATGTGGAATTTTCCCACCTGTCCATCACACCTCCTTATAGACATCCTAATTTCTAAGCATGTGGGCTCATTTCTCAACATCCTTTCAATCTTATTCCAAACATTGTCTGATCTGACTCCACAAAACTTCCAACAGAACACTATCTCTTGTCCTTCTAATGAAAACATGATGGTGACTCAAATCTTGGCCATGTAGCTTAGAAATTAAAGTAATTTATTGCTGCTATGCCTACATATAGTCCCTCCCATGCTGGACCCAATGCAAAGAGGCTTTGTTGCTTTCATTTGTGAATTTTATGCTTTCATTTGGGTAAATATATTTGTAGTCATGATTTTGGAGATAAATCAATGAAAAAATTAGCTCATTTTTTCTCTACACAATATATTGGCAGGTCATTGCTTACAAAGGGTTGGTGTAAATGCCTGCACCACAGTAATGATGCTGAGTTTTATGTTTAGATTCAAGGTAGGGAGATTTCAAGGGCATAACAATTCAGCTATAGATGGGTTTGGAATCAATGTCATAAAATTGGTCACAAAACTTTTTTGTAACACAGAAAAAGCTAAACATATATTTTTTTCTTTTTTTCTTTTTTTTAAAGGAATAAAAGTTCTTCTAGATCTCTTTTGAAATAAGTTACAGGTTTCAGGTTCACATTTGAAAGGATTATCAATACCATTTGCAAACACCAACAAAATAGACTGAATAGAGAGATCTCTCTAGAAAGAGGTTAAGCAAATCACTGAGCTCTCCAATCCACAGGAGACAACATCTAAATTTCAGTTTCAAGGCATTGTATTCTCTGGATCACCATGAGATTAGCTAACACAGGACATTAAAGTATGCTTAATTACTGACTGACACAGGATCTGGTATGTCCTCTACCTGGAAGCCAGATTTAGCCTCTAGGATTTTCCAGAAGATACTCTAGAAGAGGTTGCTGCCATTGACACCCAAGGAAGTCAATTTTTAAATTGTTCCCCTTGGGATAGAACTTCCTATGGAATTTAGGCCCTTGGGACCAAAACCTACAAGGCATTTATTACTAGGTGATATGATAATTTTAATAAAAGTTGCAATAACCATGAAAATAGTGTCTTTAAAAATCTATGTACTATTTAGTAACAATGCATGCATAGTGTCAGGCATTCATAACTATTTGGTCATAAAAATATGTGACTGTAATTTTGATATTTTCAGTCAACTTATAAAAATACATGTAATTCTGAATGGCAATAGTTAATCCCTAGCTCTATCAACAAGCCTAGAAGGATTAGCTTATTATGAGACTGTGTAATGGGTAATTACAAATGGACAAAACTCTCACCCTCTTGAAATCAACATTCAAGAATGGTTATTCTAGCATCATGGAAGCTTCATTTGTCACAATTCTTCTTCTAAGCTCACAAGGTAAAACCAAAATTCTGTGGAAATAAATAGGAATGAAATGGGAAAGGAATACTCACACGATACAACTACAGTGAATAATTCTTTCATGGAATATTCATGCACAACTTTCAAAGAGGTTCACAGTCCCTGGAAGAATTAATGGGTTGACCTTTAAGTACACCCTTTCAAAAGAAGTCAGCATGGTGGAAGTCAGCACATGATGACCTTTAACTACAAGAGATTAAGAATTTAACTTGTAGTCAAATTTCTTTCTACAATTTAAGTGAGTACCTCTTTGAAGTTTTATTAACCATCATGGAGAGTAAGCTCTTATGGTCTTTCTAATTTAAATATAAATTCTGATGGGGAAAAAAACACAAATCCACATTTCAGTTTAGATTCAGAAAAGGTATGGTTATTACAAACTTGAAACCTCTCACTTTAAGGGGAAAAAAAAACAGGTGCAACAAAATAAAATGTTCTACATATCTGAGACATTTCTTGCAGGTTTCTTCTCTTCTAGGACTTGACTGGCCATCTTCTAGCAGTAGATAAGTTCCTAATTCGAACACCATCAGTATTTCACAAGTGGACAAAACAACAAGAGTAAACTTGAAAAACCAGGGAGAGCTGCACACAAGCTATTGAAAAAGGCAGAGGTTGGGTGTTACGTGCAAATCATGATCTCATATTTTAGGATGTGTTTTGGCATTCAGTAAGTGGAATTCTTGGAAATATCTGTTTCAGAGGGAGGTTGGGAGGGCAAGTGATGCTATTAGATTCTTCCTGGGCTTCAGTTGCTTCCTGGGACTGAGTTAGGGCATTTTGAGTGGTATATTAACTCTTCCAGAACAAGAGATTCCATTTCAATAAATTATTGCTACAGTTCACTAAAGAGTACCATGGTGTCCTGGAAAAGATAATGTCCCTTCCAAAATTCCACACCTCTAGTCACTTTGTTACAACTTGAGCCATAAGAAATTCATATTTATCTTAGTCACTTTAACCCTTGAAGATATAAACCCCAAAAGAATGTTTTTTCTTTTCCAAATAGACACTACGTAGATTAAGGAATTAGAACTACCCTAGGGGTTTGACAATATACCCCACTATCCCCATATGCATTTGGCGACGGGCATGCTTGATTCTTTATAAATTACCCTGCAACTTTCTCTACATGTGAAATTGGAGGTAATTAAGGTAATTAAGGAAAAAAAGACCCAAGTAGGCAAGCTTTTTAAAAATTGGTAAGTGCTTGGGGGTATGGCATGTCTTGGAAAGAAGTAGAGTGATATAGTTAGTAGAATTTCTCAGGTGATTACTTCTCACCTTTTGAAAGGGATGTAAAACATATCTTCACAAATAATGAGTAAACTGTGAAAGAAGAATCCCCCTCACCCCCAAGAAACACCCAACTCCTCAGAAACGTCTACTTCAGATATGAGATCATGGTCTGCATGGCTACTAATGCCAAACACCGGTTCATCCTAGCAGAGCAGTTCAAGAGGTAAAAGGCTAGGGTTATCTTTGACGAGACTTTACAAATAAGGTAAGAACAATAACCCTATGTTTATGGCAATTATTTTCCATACTCGATCCACTGATATTGTGCCCCAGTGAACACAATTGAAAAGACATGGATCATTCCTAACAGGAACTCAATTACCTCAAGGTAGGACAAAACAAACTCCACTTAATAAAATAAAATTTGGTTAAATGTTTTTATTTTAGAGACAGTTCCCCTTTCCCTTAATATTGTGGTAAACTCTTTATTTGTAATAGGTACACTTGTTACTTCATTAATCTATAAAATTCATTTCCAAAGACTACATCTACTGTATCACTTTTCTAAACTTAACTAAGTCCAGGAGATTAGTTTTTTAAAAAAAAATTTTAATATTTTAAATTCAATTAAAATATACAACCAAAGTTGGTGGGAAACAGTTGCTCTTTTCCAAGGAAAAAGAGCTTAATAACAGATGTTATGAGCGTTGGACATTTGTTCAGTCCTACCTGAAAATTAACATATTCTACTACTTGGCATGGGAAAAGGCATTTTCTAATAATTTTCTGTGACAGGAAGCACAGCATTAATCCAAGTGAGCACCCAACAGACTGAGTCTATCTGCTGGGGAGCAGTTTTAAACTTTAGCTCAATGAAAACATTTACCTCGGTACTTTTTTTGAGAGAGAATTCAGCAGCAGTTACAATTCATTGCCACCTGTGGAAAGCTACTATCACCCTAGAAGGTGGGCCAAGTGAGGAGCACTTCTCAGGTAACAAGAATAATGATACAGCAAGGAGCTAAAAAAACGATATTGCTGTAGTTACAGTGACTACTACGACAGTGACTGTGGCCTGGGGTAATGTTCCAAATATCAACGCAAGGAACACAATAGACTTTATAGGATTAGAATATTTTCTTCACACTGAGAACTTGTCGATGGCACATGATGAGTGATAATGGTCCATTTACTCTATTTCATTCTACAAGTTTCCTAGTTATGTCTCCTTTCTTTCATGGTAATTATCTCTATCCCATGGCAGTATATTTTCACCATCTAAAATGAGAACACTATAACTATTGAATGCCCCAGTTCACACACACACACACACACACACACGACAAAAGCACACACTTATTTACCCTTATACACACATGAACAGGCAATATGTATTAAGTGCTCATTTGCAGTGGGTGAGCTTTCTGAAAGAAGCCAAATAAGTCTTTTCAAATACAGAAAACCATTAAAAGCCAATAAAAAGCCATGTCAAGTATTTAGCTCTAACATGAGATTTTTAAACTTTGACCAGGTGGTAATTAATTCAAATGCCTTTTGTGGGGTTTTTTGTAAACCATCCAAAGCAAGAATCTCAAAGATTAACACACGATATATAGAATCTAGTAGATTCACATCTCTGATTATTTTGCCTACCACAGTTGAATAAAACTGCTGCTGAAACACTTGAGTTGATTTTGAATGGCCATGAATGCTCCTGTATTTGGCTAAGGTTGACTTGACTTTCTAGAGAAAGGCCGGCCTATCTGCAAACGGACATCTCCCTCCACACACGTCAATGCACACTAAAGACAAATCTAAGTATATGTATATATAACACATATACAAATATATGTACACATAAAATGGATTGGGAAGTCCTTTGGTTTAGATGGGATTAAATATATACTTCCCAAGTGCATAGGTTTCCTTTGACCAACCTGTTCAAGAAACAAATATGAAAAGTGCCATGGCAACTTTGACATTTTCTATGTCTTCCCTATTTGGAGGCCCCCTTCCCTCTCTTCTCCATCTCTCTTAAGCATTTTATTTTTGAAAGCAGTTGGTTCTTTTAACCTTCTAACACTTCACTGATTCATCCATTCCTTGGAAGAGCTCTAAGGTCACATCCAGAAACTGATCCTTAGTAGAGAAGATGGTTCAAAGAATTTCCCCCCTTCTTCGATTCCCTCTTCCCCCCAAGAAGCGGACACCTTGATGTGCCATGAATAATTCACTCTTGATCTGACTTGCCTAGTTACCCCTGGCCAGCTCAAGCAGCTGAGGTCTGAGCTTTACTCGCCCTGCATCGTTGTGCAATACTGGAAAAGAAGAGCAATCCGTTAGTCTACACCTTCAGACTGTGGTGACATGATCAGGGTTCTCTTGAATTTCTATGCATTCAATTTCCTCTCTCTCCTTTCGTTTGGCACGTTTCTTTTTCTTGTGGTGCTTTTTGGAAGGGGGGAAAAAGGTTAGGAACACAGGTAAGATAACAAAACAGTGCAGAAGTGTGCAACCCCCGGTGAGCAGCAAGCATTTGAACAGTGTGAAGGTCAGGTTCGAAGGCACAAAGAGGAGGGGAACCAACCCAATAAGAAAAGAAGTAATATTTTGCAAAATGGCTGTCCCATGCTCTTGCAGGGAGTTTTTTATACACTGTGTTCGGGTGTGCTCAGTTGCTAATACAAATGTGTAAAGCAGTGGTGCACAGTGGTCAATGGCAAAATTTAAAGTGTAGATAAGGCACAAGATAGAAATGCAATCCATGTCGACGTTCCATAATGTCATTAAGCCCAGGACGCCCAGCTCGATTGAGGTGACGCTAAGAATTAGCCAGAAGTTTCCCAGAGGGTGGATCACTAGGAAAAAAGTCAGGATTAACACCAGGAGGACACCAAAGCCTGCAATGAGAACAGGCACTGTGACAGACAAGCCATAATGGTCCATGAACACAAAGGAGGGGTTGAACACTATGAACCGGATGCTCTTGGAGAGGGACAGGGGCCTGAGCTTTTCCAACACTTCGATGACTTCCTTCTGCTTGTCTCTGCTGGTCCTGGCCACCAGGTACAAGCGAGAAGCAATGATGTTGCTCTCATCGCCTGCCTTGGAGAAGATGATGTCGTTGCGAAAGTGCTGGAACTCTGGCTTTTTTAAAAATGAGCCCTGCAGGACGCCGATGAAGTCGCTCTTGTTGTTGGCGCTGATGTTGCTGCCTTTCAGAAACTGGTAGTACTGCTCCACCCAGGACATGGCCGTGAAGCCACCGCAGAGCCTCCGGAGGTCCTCCTGGACGCTGCTGTTCCAGTACTCGAGGGGCTCGTAGACATAGAAGCCGATCACGGGGCTGTAGTTGCTGAAGTATTTCTGCTGCACCGCCGCATAGGAGACGCTCGGCGACTCGCTGGCCAGCAGGTTGACCACGTTGGCTCTGTCACTGATCTGCAGGCACCCCATGAACGAGAAGGACGCGTAGATGAGATAGAGGATGACAACGAAGGGCTTCACGTAGATGTTGGTCACCCACTCGTTGTAATGCTCGCGCAGGAAGTGCTGGATGAAGTGGTGCTGGTAGGGGCTCGCGTCGTGGTGGGCTGCCTGCTGGTGGCCGTCGCTCATCACCGTCTGGAACCACACGGGCTTGCGCTCCAGGTACTCCGCAGAGGGGATTTTACAGCAGAAGACGCTGTGGTAGCGGTTCTGCTCCAGCTGGCCAGCGAAGACCAGGCAGGAGCCGAAGAAGGAAAGAATGTAGAAGTAGTTTAAGAGGATGGACACGCACATGTTCTGGCAGAAGACCTTGACAGCCTCGATGTTCGTGAAGGGGCTGGCGCCCATGCCGAAGGTGATGAGGTACAGGGCGCTGGTCATGGTGTAGGTGACCATCACGTCCGAGTAGGCATCTGCCACCCTGTCTTTGAAGGGCAGATTTTCTCTGGTCCTCCGCCATCCAGACAGAAGCTCAAACACTCCTTTAGTTCCATGACCTAGTTTAAGAAAAGAAGGAAAATAATTGTTTTTGTTTCCTCCTCTGTGAGTTCAAGTGAATTCCTGATAGGTTATTAAGGCTGAACAGTACTGTAAACACTAATCCTCCGATCAGGGTCCCAAATTTTGAGTTGCATACCAGGCCATAGTTGCTCTATGTTTCCACTTTAGGAAAGTCCAGATTTATTGGTAGGGTTGAGAAAAATGAAGCTTTGTTGTCTGTTCTATTAATTTGACAAGTTGTAATATAATGTGACATTATCTGCACACACATTGTCTCACTAAATGGATTATAAATTGGTGAGGGCAGGGGCTATTATTTGTGCATTTTCAAAAGCCCCTTGACACCAATTCAGTGCTTGATCAACTGATATATTGGCTGATAATCCCTAACCTCCATTTCAGACTGATTTACATGCTGATTTAGGAAATTTTAAGATAATTTTAAACAATTAAAAATGGTCTTAAATTGATTTTACAACGTTAATTATCTGCTTGGTGGCCAAATGGCTTAGAAACCAATTCCTATAGATTTAATTAATTAACATTGGATGTGAGTAAAAAAAATTTTTTTTAATGCCAGGTCACATAAAAGACAGGGCAAGACCTTCGGGGCAAAAATCACAGCAAGCATTTCCTCTGGGCTCCTCCCAAAGACTTTGTTCACAGAGATGTATGCTGACTAAATGTTTGACCGCCTCATTAAAATGCATAGAGAATGCTTCTTTTTATAACCAACCCCTGTGCGCACTTTGAAAATGGTAGACAAAAAGTTTATTTGACAAATACTCTTTGAGCACTTACGTGTCAGAAACCATTAGACCTGAGATGTTTTATTTCAAGAACCCGACAGCTCTTAAGATACCACCACTTGCTTCTCTTTAACAAAATCAGAAATCATAGCCCTAGCCAGTTTTGCTAAGTGGTTAGAGCATCGGCCCACAGACTGAAGGGTTCTGGATTCGATTCCGACTAAGGGCCTGTACCTCATTTGTAGGCTCAATCCCCGGCATGTGCAGGAGGCAACCAATCAATGTTTCTCTCTCTCTTTCCCTTCCACTCTCTCTGAAAAGCAATGGAAAAAAATATCCTCAGGTGAGGATTTAAAAAAAAGAAAGAAATTATAATGTTATCGTACTATACCTGCCATTTCTCTTCTTTTCACTTGCCTGAATTAGCTCTGTCAGTTACCATCCACGATATATCAGTTGATAACTGTCTGAATGGGAATCTTCATAGGTCAATCTTGCCCTTGTAGCCACAGCAGTACCATACACAAACCTTGTCTATGAATGGATAGAAGCTGTGCTTGGGCTATTTTCCAAGAAATCCATTGGACAAAAATGTAGCATAAAGGTAACAAATGAACTAGTTTAAGAAAACCTGATAAATGGACTTTGTGTCGCACCTAGATATTGGAGTTCTGGGTTACAAAAGTTTTTCCAATTTACTTAGTAGTGCTTTAAAGAACATATTATCATGGCTGGGGTCTCACTATAATCACTGATTTTGTGCTGTTGATAGAGTTTGCTAACTGGCCTACATAATTCCTTCCCTTTATTGTCACTTTTATTTGGGACAACAATGTTCACAATTTAAAACTATTTCTCAGCCTACCTTTCAACTAAGGGTGGTTCATGTGATATATTTTTGGATAATGTGATGTAACTGGAAGTCATTTAAGGATACTCATTAGAAAACCAGAAGGAGTTTTGTCCTAATTGACATCATGGAGCCACCAACAAGAGCCCTGGCCTACCTTCCTCTTGGATTCTCTTTAAAGAAAATCAAATCTCCGTTTGTCTAAGTAAGGCTGTTTTCTGCAGGTGAATCTACTCTTAACCAAAAAAGTTTTGTAGGTGAGTTAACATCTACCCAAACCTCTTTTATGGGGATCTAAGAATTCTTGCTTTATATAGTTGGACCATGGAATTTACAGATTTAAATGTATATAATGCTGATCTTTGATTTTAAAGTCACATTGGTCCACCTATTACTATTAACTATTATTGTTATTACATTGGAGTTCTTCTTATTCCAAATATAAAGCCCATTTATTTTCCAAAGTTCTCTCTTGTGGGTCTCCAGTCAGGGAAGATCCTTTAACATAACAAGTAGAAATGGTTCTGAGAACAATCCCTCTTCTGGGTATCTACCCAAGAACAAAAACATTTATTTACAAATATATATGCACCCCGATGTTCATTGCAGCATTATTCACAGTGGTCGAGACATGGAAACAACCAAAGCATCCATCGATAGAGGGCTGGATAAAGAAGATGTGGCACATACATACTATGGAGTACCGCACAGCCGCAAGAAAAGATGAAATACTGCCATTTGCAACAACATGGATGGACCTTAAGATTATTATGCTAAGCAAAATAAGTCAGTCAGGAAAAGCTAATAACCATATGACTTTACTCATACGTGTGATACACAACTGAAACTCATAGATACAGACAAAGTACAGCGGTTACCAGAGGGAAGGGGTAGGGGGTGATAAAGGGAAAAGGGGCCAAATATATGCTGCTGATTTGACTGTGAGCGGTGGGCACACAATGCAATATACAGATCAAGTATCATAGAAATGTAGAGTAGAAACGTATATGATTCTATTAACCAGTGTTACCCCAGTAAATTTAATAAAAAATTACCAACCCAACATATATGTACACTGAGTTAAGTCTAATGATTCTTAACATCAGTTGTTCATTTCTATCTTCTGCAAGACTCCTTGACCAAACAGGAAACTTGTTCTCATTCCCTTGACAAAAAAGGTAATATTAGGATATTCTTTAAGGTAATTAAAATCCTTAATTAGAGCACTTGTCTTTTGAAATGAGGACTTTTGCTATCTTTAGTAGTCACAAGGGGGGAAAGGCTACATGGAGCTATAGCTAAATGCAGCTTGCCTTTGCTAATGGTCACTCTATGGAGTATTAGGTACACTATGTAGGCTAGCGTGCTGCTCTAAATAGCACGAAGGTCTGAATGCGTAGGAAGATGTGCTGAACTATATTAGGTTAAGTAACCCCTTTAAGTGTGATAAAGACTGAAAACGCAATTTCCAAACACTGTTTGGAGATGGCATGTTTTATCTCATCCATAGATTTAGGTATTTTACAAGGTATTCCTATCAATATTCACTCGTTAGAGTCTCATCATAATTAGGCAACTTCCTAGCAGTTTGGATCTCTTACCTTCTTCAAGCCAGGCTTATCTTCTGTCCCCCCATGAGCCTGCCCATGAATAGCCTTATCTACTTAGTTTTGTTCATGCAGTTTTCTCTGCCTTATAACATCTTCTCCTTTCTCATTGCTGGTTGTTTAATTGAAATTCTATCTATTGGACTGTTAAGGGTCAGCTCAGTTCTCACCTTTGCCAAGAAGCTATCTCTGACAATTCCAGACATATTGATTTTTTCTGTTCCTTCAACTCTATTGCAACTAATTAGTTACTCGTTTTGACATCCAACCATGTGCTGTTTTGCTCTGGAACAAAAAATGGCTTTCTTCAGATATGTTCTATCTCTTTGGTTAGATTGAAAATTCTTCAAGGTCAGAGAATGCATTTCATATTACTTTTATACTCTTCAGAACATCTGGCAAAGTGATAGATGCCCAGAAGATGCCCACTAACCTCTTATTGAATTAAATCAACTGTAATTCTTGATTCTAGATGGAGTCAGGAAATACATGTATCTTTTAATTACTTATTCTTAATTATAAAAGTAATATACTTGAAGCATATTTATTTGTGTCAAGAATAGCTATATATTTATAAAAATTAATTTATTTTCCAATTACTATTGACATACAATCTTATATTAGTTTCAGTTGTACAACATAGTAATTAAACAAATATATACCTTATGAAGTGATCATCCAGGCACATCTAGTACGCATATGACATTATACATGGCTATTGAAGTATTACTGACTATATTATGTATGCTGTACTTTACATCTCCATTACTATTTTTATGACTGACAACTTGTACTTCTTAATCCCTTTTACCTTTTTTGCCAACTCCCAACTTCCCTCCCATCTGGCAGCTATCAATGACTTTGTTTGTTTTGCTTGTTCATTTATTTTGTTTTATAGATTCCACATATAAGTGAAATCATATGGCATTTGTCTTTCTCTGTCCAACTTATTTCACCTAGCATAACACCCTCTAGGTCCACCCATGTTGTTGCAAATGGTAGGGTTTCATTATCTTTAATGGCTGAGTAATAATCCATTGTATATACTATGTACCATATCTTCTTTATCCATTCATTCAATTTAACCCAATATATACTTATTTAGAGTTTGTTACACATGAAGACCTATTAGTCAATAGATTAAACACAAAGATCAAGAAACACAATCTTTCCAACATCTGTCAGTATAGAAATTCATTTTTACTTGGGTAGTTATGAGACAGAGTTCAGATCTAATAAGTATGAGTTTCAGATGCTGTCCTGTACATTTTTGATGTTTAGAAGCATTTCTCATCTCTATCCCCTGTGCCAGTAGCACACTCTATAGTTGTGACAATATAAAATATCGTCAGACATTGGAAAATGCTACTGTCTGAGGGACAAATTTCACTTGATAGAGAATTATTGGTTTATTCAAAATAAAAAGAAATAGCCCCCACACACATCATAGACATATTTAATCACCTTTTCCTGATTATAAACACAGGACATATTTATCCATCCTTCCAGCCATCCAGATAGATAACTACTTAAATAATTAATTTACAGAACTAGGTTCCTACCAAGAAGAAATTAAAATTAGAGGTTACTCTTTTTAAAAAAAAAAAAATTATTTACTTTTTAATTAAGTAATTAATTATTTCCATCACCATTTATCCCCTCTATGCCCTCTTTACATCAATGTCTCTCTCTCTTTATTTCTCCCTCTCTTTCTCCCTTCCCCTCTCTAAAAATCAATGAACATGTTCTCTGGTGAGGATTTAAAAAAGCGATTAAAAATCAAACTCCTT